CCTTGGGCTGAAAAATATTTTGGGCTCTTTGTTTTTTGTACTGCACTTCCCATAACTATCGATGTATAGAGATGAAAAAATACCCTTTGCCACTGCAGATCCATTTTTTCCCTTTCTATTTGTTTCTCACCTGTGTGCGAGCAGAGCTGCACACATGCAAACTTTATGGACATGTGCTGTCACACCTGGTTAGCTTGGGTCTGGGTTTTATCATCAGAGCAGGTTTCACATGGGCTTGCTAGGGAGCCATGGAGTGAGCCCAGGGCCATTTCCTATCGGATCGCAGTGGCAGAAGTTGGTGGCATTTGTTCCTGGAAGTGAGCTGTTCTCTCTGTGTGCCAGTTTGGATCTCAAGTCTGAAACTTAAAGGAAACTTCTCAATGTACAAATAAAAATAGCACCAAATATGATAAAACCGAAGGAGAAGTTTTGTATGAATTTGATGTGAGTTGATAGGCAGGGTTGGGCTCTCTGTTTTGGCTTTCTAAGTTGTGGTCTCATCTAGGAAGTCAGACCATCATCACCGCATTGGGATTTTAGCCTTCATTCCTCCAGTACAAAGCATTTCTCCTGGGGCTAGGTAAATGGGGATTGCTGGTGTCTGGAGTCTGACATCTCAGACTCTTATCAGCCCACATTTGGCCTGAGATTTAAATTTACTGTTTAAAATGTGGTTTTCCTAAAAAAAAAAAAAAAAAAAAAAAAAAAATTTCCTTCAGTTCCTTGGGGATGAGGGGGAGTTATTTGCCTTACAAAGTATGAACCCCACAAGGAACGTTACTTAGAGCGCGGAACTGGAAAAAACAAAACTCAAAGCAACTCTGTGGATTGTGTTGCCTACTTCGGCACTTGGGTTTGCTTTGTGTTAGCTCAGCTGTTAAGCCGTCCCCATTCTCTTCCAGCCTCCTCGACTGCAGCTGTCAATTATTTATGATTCTCTTGGCAAACTTTCTTTTAGTGCTATCTCCCAAATAGTGTGGGAACCATAAACAACAGAGATGTCAGTGCTGGTGGCAGCTGAGCGGTAGCGATAATCCAGTGAAACCCTTTCTTCCTGGGCTGTATCTAGCCCAGTGAGACATCTCTGTGCTTGCACACACCTTGTTGGATCAGCTGCTGTGAAACCCCAGCCCCACATTGAACTCAGCCTAACGGGGCTGAAGAGAGAGACCGACCCATAATTGTGCGTGAGTGAGAACAGTCACGACAGTCTCGTGCACAAAACGCTCTACTCAAAAAATAGCCAATTACTTAGGATTCAGCCCAGACCTGGGTCTGCAGCACAGTGTGATGCTTCATATCTTATGGCTTGAGGTCCCTCTTCGTCCATTCAAAGCCTGCTGGTGGCTGCCTGGGTAGTCTGGCATCCTCCTTTCCCGGCGCCTGTCTCTACTCACTTGTCTCTGTCTTGAGACTGGGATTTTTCTCATTCCCTATCTTCTTGCAGTCCTTCCAGAGCACCATGCCACTTCTTCCCCTAATAAGGACTTGTTTCTAATTGTCTTTGAAAGTTATCTCTGGACAAAATGTAAAAGTAAGCTGTTGAATAGTTTTAGCCTCCAAAGATAAAAGCTTGTTAAAACAAGCCCAAATAGGACTCAAAATAGATGCCCAATTTAAATAATTTTCAGTAAAACTTGTTGTTTTGTTTACCTTGGACTTCCATGAACTCCCTCCCCAGCAAGCTCATCCTCCCAGGGGTCCTTTTTCCATTTCCCTGGAAGAAAAACAGCTTCAGCTCTGCAAAGCGAGCTGGCCTAGGTCAGACCGCTACAGCCTGGGTCAGCTGGAGAGCTGCTGACCACAGAAAATATGTTTGAGACCTTGTAAAAGAGCCTACATTTAATAGGCTCCTTAATTTTTTGGAGGGGACAGCGTCACTGAGGACTACTGCTGGTTTCAGAGTTCTCTGTGCAGGATGACCTCCCAGTCTTACAGCAGTCTTTGAGATGTCTCCTTACTTTTGAGGTCTGTGGTGTTATTCTTCCCTTTCCCTTCTAGAGCTTAAGAGCACTCTAGGGAGGATCTAATCCTGCTTTTCCATCCCTGCCCATGCCCTGGTGACAGGCAGGAATTGCCTCCAGAGGCTGTCTGGTGGGCATCACCTTCAGCCTCTGATCCTTGCTCTGGTGCAGTGACATCCCACCAGCACAAACGCCTTGAGCTCTGTCAGTCTCAGAGACGAGGTCAGGATGGACAGACGCCCTGAGCACTGCTTTGCGTGTGGTCAAGCCAGACCCCTGTGTGCCTCCAACAGGGTCAAACCAATAGTTTTGTCTCGTCTTAAAATGAGAGGGTCAAAAGCTGTGGGACAGGAGCAGTCTAAAATGTGTTTAAATAGAAATAAGAAATGAGCTGAAGGAATGGCACCTGTCAGCATGAGGCTGGTCAGAGCAGCCGGTGCTGGATCTGTTGTGGGAACAGCAGAAAATGTGCATTTAAAGGAGACCGGCCCCTTGCAGGCAGTGGGAAGAGTCTAATGAGCAGCTTGAAGAAGGGCAGACACCTAAGTGCAGAGCTTATCCTGCTGTGTTTGAGTCAGTTTTGTACCTCCTGACAATTGAAATAAGCTGCATCCCAGCTGGGATTAAGTCAGCGCTGGCTGCAGGCTTTGCTAGTTCAGAAGAGACCACTTGTCCTTGCAATTAAGGGAGCAGCCTGTAAAACCTGCAAGCTGACAAGCCAAACACCCAGCAGGCAAACTCAGGCTGCCTCTGTCCAGGCATTGCCCTTGCTCAACGCTGGCTCGGGAGATGCAGAACAGTGTGGGCAGGAGGAGGGGGGTCACTGCACAAGAGGCTGATGTGTCAGTGGGATCTTTCTTCCCACAGGTGATGAGGCACGAGAACTCGAGTGTTTTGGAGCTGGATGGGAAGGAGGTGTCTGTCTTCACCCCCTCCAAGCCCCGTGAGAAGTGGCTCCGCAAGAGGACGCATGTGAAGCTCCGGGTAAGGGTGTTTTGGGGCTGTGGCAGGGGGAAGTGCTGTCGTGTAGAGGGGTTTCAATTTGGGCTGCAAGAACAGCACTGAAGGCAGCCAGCGTGGGCACGGCTATTTCTGTCCATGGCAGAGACAGAGGATCACATTGCACTGCTGGTATATATTAGTGATTATATCCTACCCATGTAGTTGTGAAAGAGCAACTCAAAAGATCTGTACCAGCAAGGTCTCCTCTTGGCCTCAAGTCTATGTAAAATACAGAAAGTGTTGGCTGT